TGCATCTGTCAAGTAGGAAATTTAGGTACCACCTATGTGTGGGGAGGCTAATTTAACAAATTTACGAGGCCATAAAAAATATCCAGCAAAGCATGCGGGGAATGCGGAAAGGACTTCATCAGTGTCACAGATTGACGGTGAAGTGACAGCTCCCCTGGTGGCCAAGAAAGTTGGAATGTTAAATAGCCTCTGGCTGTCTGTCTATATATGTTGTGTGTCTATGGCATTGAATGTTTGCCATGTATGTGTACATTGTAATCCACCCTGAGTCCCCTGGGGGTGAGAAGGGCGGAATATAAATACTGTAAATAAATAAATAAATAAATAAAGGTGGTAAAAAGCTTTACATGGCTGACTGGACTTTAACATCAGGGAACCAAACCACCAGAGTTTTCATCACTGCCATCACACTCAGGTTGGCCCTGTATCATAGCTGGAGTCCAGGCCCCACAGTTTCAATAGGACTTCATGCAAATCTGCTTGCGTAAAAGTTGGTGCAATTAAGTATGCTGCTCATAAGGAAAACCTGCTTACGGCAAACATCATGAAAGTTTGGTCATGTATGGTTACTGGTTTTGCTAATAATTGATTATTTTTTTATTTCACCAATCTTCACTGGTACTCATACAACAACACAAATATTCTGTGTCCATCTAGCCAACGACTAAAAATCGACACAGAATAAAACGGAAGGGACACCATTGAATAATGGAGATGATCCAGTCGGAAGCTGCTGGAGTTAATAATAGGGATCCAGGTTACCATGGCACAACAACCTCCAATTTGAATTCTTTTGGGCAGTTCATGCCTGACTAAGAGCAAAGAGTGAGTCTGCAATGTTAACTAAATGTGCTTACTTCCAGTGTCGTCAACAGAGCTGAAGCATCTCTAAAGAAGCTATTGCAATTCAATACCATAATCCACGGATTAAGGCCATTAATACTACACAATGACAATTGTTTGCATGAAGAACTGGTACAGTATAAAGCCAGCATATTTTCCCGAACATACCTATCCCCCCCCCCCCCCCCCCCCCCCCCCCCAGGATTGTTTCTGATGTTGCTTCACAGCCACTCACTCCTTTCAAATATATAGCACTTTTTAAACCAGGCACACACAGAAATATCTGAACAGGAGATTATTACTAGGATATATAAGAATAAACTACCTTCCAGAGGTTTGCTGTATATGCCTCATGGTATAGACATAAAACATGTGTATTTCTTTAAGTGTTTTGTGCATATCCTAACATGTTGGAATTAAAGCATATTAAGGAAAATCTATTATTGGAATGAGAACAGTGCACGTCATATCACAATAAACAGAAAATGTAATCCTATACAGCTTACTCAGAAGCATGCCCCAATGAAATGAGTTAATGGGTACAGGACTTCATCCTTAAGGACATATATTGCAGGAAAATCCTGCATGTGGTAAAAAGTTCCTTTAAAAATGTATTTAAATATTTAAAAAATAAAAATCAAACAACTGGGGGTTTGGCATTTTGAAAGACCTCTTTGCTTTAATAAAACCATTCAATCTTTGAAATCAACTAGAGATGCACACCTAACTGCCACTCATGTTTTTGAAGCCTGCCTTGTAGCTGTTTGGAGCCAAATTCTGCATGGTGGCATCAAGACACAGACCAATTTTTTATTTTTATGCACAAATTAAAGACACAAATGTTTTACAAGCCTTCCTAGTGCAATCTACCTTTACTTTTATGGGTGTTTCTTGAATTAATGAACCATTTTTATTTATTATGGGCTTCTACAATCAGGGTACATACGTTGAGAGATTGCAGTATTTGTTGCAGTGCATCTTGGTTTCATTTTGAATTTGCGAAGTCTCCAATGATGACCGTATCTTCTGGGCTATTTCTACTAATTCCTAACATTTTATCCAACCCTCAAATAAATTTCTTTTTATTTCCAAGACTTATTAGAACAAAAAGGTATCCTCGCCTTTTCTTCCTTTCTGTCTCTTTTTATCGTTCTTGTTGTATTGTAATGCATAATTGAAATGACACTTTTGTACTATAACTTTAAAACTTAAAGCAGCGCATCATTTCACCAAATCTGATTCCAGCCCTATTGCTATAAACTTTAAAATACAAATTATCACAAACAGCTCCCACCCCTCCTCTAAATATGTGGACATTCAACAAACAAGGAATACATCATGAGATCTCATTCTTCTTGAGAAAAATCTTTAAAAGCCTTATAGTTAATAATAGACACCACTTCGAAAATTTTCTATACACACACACAAACACATGTGTGTGTGTGTGTGTGTGTGTACACAGATACACACCACACATTCATACTCAAAGTTGCTGTATAAATATCTGTGAATAAATAAATATAACTAGCCCTCAACATTCATGGAAATTACAGGTACAGCAGCCTCACAAAAGTAGAAAAGACATTACTAAAGGTCTGCTCATTTTTTTAACCTGCGAGAACACCTCTTTAGGAATCTGGTAGAAGTGGACCACAGAGTGCAAGAGGACCTTCAAATATTTATCAATCAGATCTTTGAATAATCAAATCCACAACTGCTTAACCTGCAGGAATGAGAGATGACCCTAAATAAATTCAGATTAGGAATATAAAGAATCTTTCCAGATTGTGGCAAACCATAGCATACTATTACTTTAAAGCTAGACAAATGAAAAGTATGACTCATAGGTGGCCTCAAAATCAGAAGTAGAAATGACAATATGAAGTGTGCTTCCAATTTTGGTTTAAAAACCAAATTAGACGCAACAGAGTGCCTGATTCAGAAAAACACACAATAGTTTGTCACAAAACAGCTAAATTAGAAAGAAGACATGAATTGGCATGCATGGAAACAGTTCATGGAGTCAGCTATTGTTTGTCCACTATATGTGAAATATGGGTATAATTTTATGGGAAATCTAAGATGATAAGCAATAATTACTACCATTATTTTGTGGGCTGCTGCACAGCTACGATGGGAGTGAACATATGAACAATTCAGCTTGGTGCTGAAAGGCTAAAAAGTACAGGAGCAAAAACAAAACAATAAACCATGGATTGCCTGACATCTATTTGGAAGTGCCATTTGTAACTTTTTTCTAATCAAATAGTAGAAATTGTGATTTAACATAACATGTGATCTAAGGGCATATTTTTAAATCTGTAACACTTTAAAAAGGTCTACGGTTTAGTGAAAATAAAGATGATCCTTTAGATTTCCCTATTTTTTCCTTCATTTTGTTCTAAATATCAGAAATGTCTAGATTACAAAAATTACTGTGTCTCTTATGCAATGCAATTCAATAATACTATCTAGAAGATTCCCCAACAGTAGAAATCTCTTCCAAGGAAACTTTCTTTTTCTCATTTTTTATACTTGATTGTTTTTTCTATTTGAATTGCATATTCAATGCAAACTGTGATACATGCTTAATGTATCAGACTTGATGACATACTTTTGAACTTTTGTAAACAGTCATGAGACTTTTTTGAGGGCAGAGTTTAAAAACCAAACAAACACTGAAATTAACTGTAAATTTCCATAGGTTCCATAGAAGCAGAACTGTAACTTTAGTTCAGTTTCAGTGGTTTACCCTGTATTTGCTATCTTATGTACAGATTACACACCCCTATTCTTGCTTTGGAACAGATCCTTTTGGTTTCTCAAGAAGTCAACTGTAAGAAATGCCCGTGCATCCAAATATCCAGAGATTTTGCCCCGTCTTCAAAAGGAGCTACATAATCTAAGTCCATTCTCATTGCCATATGTGAGGCGCCTGCCTCTCTGACCCAACAGCTCACCTTTTGGATGGGAAGACAGACCACTGTGCCTTGCGACATATGACTGGTGTTGCGTCATCGTTCTGGCTGCTAAACATTTCTAGGTCAAGACTCAAAGTTGCAAAACAGAACAGCTCTGATCAATTTGAAATGAAATGGCAATTGTTTCTTTTGAAGTGATATGGCAAAAATACCGCACAGCAAACAATTTGTTGAACCCTAACCCCCCCCCCACTCCACATGTATATAAGATATATAAGATATGAATCTTGCAGATACAAGGGATGCTATTGTATAGGAAATTTCCACAAAGCAATGAGTATGCAAAAGCATATTCTGTACTGAAAGAAAGGAGCTAGTGAGCAGGGTATTCAAGCTGAACCCCAATCCTCAATTAGCACAGCTGGTAAATCATCAGCAATTATAAGATCTATCAAGCAAAAAGTTGCAAGTTCGAAGCCCTGAGTTGGCATGAGCTGCCAACTGTCAGCCTAGCTCATTGTTTACCTGAGCAATTTGAAAATAGCTTTGGCTGTGATTAGAGAAATTAGGAACTGCTAAAAGTGTGGGATGTGTTTTACAACGCCATAAAGAAAGAAGATCAGAAAATCTTTTGCTGGGCAACCAAAAGGAAGGAGGAAGTCCTGGCGGCTCTTCGTTATAGATGTTAGAGCAACAGCAGCTCCTGGACTCGAGCCCAACCTTCCAGAGCACCTCCTTCTGTTCTGTCTGTGTATTGTCTATAAAAAAAGGGGCATTGAATGTTTGCCATGTATGTGTACTGTGATCTGCCCTGAGTCCCCTTCGGGGTGAAAGGGGTGGATTATTATTATTATTATTATTATTATTATTATTATTATTTTCTTCTTGCTGTCCAAGCCTGGAAAGGGATATGGATATGAGTAGATGGAGTCCAACCAGGAATAGGAAGAGCTTGAGGAAGTTACTTTTTTAACCACAGGCCCAATCCCTACCCAGATCAGTCACCACAACAGCTGAGAGATTCTGATAATCATGATCCAAAAAAAGTTATTTGAAAGAACAGATTTCAGCCTTAGCCTCTCTTTAAATCTTGGTGCCACAAACACAATGCTCTGGATAGTATATGGGTGTTTTTAATTAGAATACTTTAAGTCACTCTCCAATGGACAGAGAAAGCTCTTATTGGATAGTTTTGTGTCATGTTACCAAGAGTATGGGAATGTTATGTTTACTTACCTTTAGAGAATCAAAGCAGGCAATGACTCTTCCATTTTCAACCTGGCAGCTTTTGGGTGGATGTGCAAATTTACATTCCTCATCAGAGCGTGAACAAGTTCCTCTCTGGAACTGCCTGCACACTTCTAATGTCAGCCATTTTGTGTCTCTTACAGGAGCAACATTCAAAGCCATGGTGTAAGATTGAATTGGTGAGGAACTAACAATAGAATCCTCTCCAGTTATGAACTCCAACAAGTCAGGAACCCCCTTTTAAGCAACAACGATGTAACAAATGCTTAGGAGAGGACACTGCAGACAAAGTTGGATTAAGTAAAAATGTATCAATACATGTGTTAATCATCCATCAGTGTGATTGCAGACTTCTATACATTTGGCTGTAAATTTTCATGCTCAGTGGCATTTCTGGCTTCAAAAATGTGAGTTTCTTGACTGTTTTGTTAAGCAATGTTGTTTTCATACAGTGACTCTCCTTGATGACATTTTGTGTCCTCTTTGTTGGCATTGATTACACAAGATGTGCTATGCATTCAGCAGTTTTCATGCCCAACTTAATATTGTCCTCAGGGTTTGCAAACGCTGGAGTCAGTTTCACGTCAGGCAGCTGGCAAACTACTACAGATGACACATAAGGTAAGAGCAGGATCTAGCTGGCCGAGATCATCTTCTAAAAAATACGGCTGTCTCTTGTACAAGCAGCTTCACAAAGGCACTTATAACACATGGGCCTGTAAAGATAAAAGAGAAATGATATTCAATCAACACTCAGATTCTTCCCCTTCTTAAGAGATGTTTTATTACATTAGCTGCATCTTGATAAAGTTTGCTGTACATTTAAAAATCTACAGGAATGTTGAGGAAGCAATATATATATATATATATATATATATATATATATATATCATATACAACTAAATCAGTTCTATTATCTAGGTACTTTCACTGTGACACATGTTATAAACCTTTTCTCCTTTGTTGGTGGCTTCTCTGAACTCACTTCAAATATGTATTTCTGCCTGGATCTGTTTGGATAGTCATTTGAAGGTCAGGATTAAACAGACAGAAGACTTAAGTACTACTATTTATCATTCTCATCAAGTATTTGGTACCCAATTTTAGGATTACACTAGCAATACGTTTGAAGTTAAAAAAACAAAACAACAATGATATAAGTAATTGTGTAGTATTTACTATCTAGAACATTGCATGACAGTTTCACCTTTCCAGTTAAATGGATTGTCATACGCAGAACATGTGCAATCCTATGCATGCTTACTCAGGGCCCATCTACACAGCACCTAAAATACAGCATTTACCGGGTTAAGAGGGGGTGGGGTGGCGCCTACATGACGCTAGCAGTAAATCTGCACTGATTCACCGCAACAGACAAAAACACAGAGTAAAAAGGTCCCCTTTTATCCCAATTCTGGCTGGAAAATGTGCATATTCACATCGCTGTATATCCCTGCACTTGCAAAAAACATGATTTTCCTCACTTCGCTTTGTGGGGACTGCTCCAGCACACGTCTGCTTTTTTAAAAGCCCGAAACAGCTGATTGGCTGACTGGGCTGTAATATGGACATACAGTTGGTTTAAAGGAAGCACAAGCGGAGAACAATTAGAACTCTCTGAAATTATTTATTTTTAACTTTATAATATTACAAAGACCTTGAATAAACAATTGGGGGGAGGAATCCACAAGAATTTTTTTTTGTTTTAAATCACTCTGTTATGTGATGAACCTCATACGCACACATACAAATCTGCTTATATTTACATTAAGATATTCGCATGTGCGCATAATCGCATATACGGTGCAGCGCATAACTGATTTTTTTTTTAAAAAAACTTCTAGCGGATGTCCCCCATCCGTCCTCCATTTTGTTCCAATACAGAGGAAGCCTGTGAGGACAGCAGAGGGCCTAATCACGGTACTAGCAGGTCTGTGTGGGGATTTGCAGTCAAGTCCCAGGATTTTTTTTAACCACCATTTAAGCCTGCATTTTCATGCTATCTGGAAATGCCTCACTGATACTGTGTTTACTAGGATTGTTACCCTAGTTAGCATTATCTAGTTGATGTTTATGAATTGCTTGTATTTGTTTCCTTGGGGTTTGTTTTCAACTTATGCAAGTTATTGTTTTCTTTGTACTACCTCTTAGCAGAATCAGATTGCAACTGTAAAATTCATTCAAAATACTATGGCTTGCCGCATGAAATAAGGATATGCATTTAAAAATCTTCACACTGTAACAGCATTGAGACAAAAATGAAAAGGTGACAAAAAAGGAGTTCAAGGAAATAACTGGATAAAATTAATTTTCAATGTTATGTCCTTTGAATCTTGTACATGGTTTTCTATATACTCTTTCTTCTTTATATCACTTAAAATAAACTATGTCTTCCCTGGAAGAATTACTTAATCTGCTATCATGTGAGGGTACAATTGAGCCTACAAGTGAGGCTCAATTTTTCAACATGCTTCATACTGTTTACAATATAGCAATGAGCTTATTAAGGAAATCTTTTAGGTTTACTTTAAAGCTCGCTTTATACAGCACTGATGATGCATAAGCCATGTGGGAAAGCAGGAGGAAAAGTATACCACCAACTGCAAAGGAAGCAGCTTCATGCAGCTACGAAGGCAGAAACTCCCCAGAAAGGAATTCCTTTCTGCAACGCTGGATAATTGTGTATTGGGCCAGATTTGTTCATGCATTTTGAAATGCGTTGTGACAGGGAGCTAGCATCGCTTGTGTCCCAATAACAGGAGTGTGGATCAACAACAGGTGTTCTACCATCAAAACCTCTCATCTCACCTTGGCAGAAGTCTTAATCTAGTCCCTGACAAAGAAGACAAAGAACCTACATTGCTCTTCAATTGGTTAGGTTGTTCAAAATCTGATGCACTATGATGCTTGTCTGTGTGACTATGGAAAGGAAGACACTAAATCCTGGGCTGCAGCAGAGCATAGAAGGAACATTGACCCCAAAACACCCTCAAAATTCTCCTAGATTTGAGGTTTTTCAATATCCACATTTTGTTTGTTGAAGGCTCTCCAGGACCACTGCCACAGCAACTCTAAAGCGACTTTTCTCCTGTTACTTGATCAAGTTAGTGGTTTAAAGCTGTCTAAACCATGATAAATGAATGCACTCCTTGGTAGGAAATGTGTAGGACCCAGATTTAATCCCACCATACCCAAGTAAGGCTGGGCGAGGCTCCTTTTTGGACCCCTGGAGAACCACTGCCAACAATGATGGAGAGTGAGTCAATAGTTTGACTCAGTATAAAGGAACTTTTGTGTTCTTTTGACATCCTTAACAGGCCAACATCTTTTGATGTTGTCTAGGAGCTGGATGTAAGTTTGCCTTAATATGACTAAAAGGATGCTCAGCACCCTTCATCTGTATTTGAAAAGGTAGGAGATATAGTAAATGACACTGGATCAAGGGAAGTAATACTACCACTCTGTTCTGCTTGGGTCAGACATAACCTGGAATGTTATCTCCAATTCTGGCAACACAATCCAAAAAGGATTTTGACCAACTGGAACGTGTCTGTAAGAAGGCAACCAAAAAAAGAGGGGATTGGGAAACAAGCCCTATGAGAGCTTGGTAAGCTTAGCCTGCTCCAGAGATTAGGACAGAGAGCCATGAATTCAAACGATAGGAAAAGAGATTCCACCTATACATTAAGAAGATTCTTCTGATGGTAAGAGCTGTTTGACAGTGGAATACAATGCCTCAAGAGAGTATAGAGTTGTCTTCCCTGGAGGTTTTTAAAACAGGTGCTGATTGGCTATGTGTCGGGAGTGCTTTGGTTGTATCTTTATGCACTGGTGGAGATTGCACCTGATGGATCTTGTGGTCTCTTCTAGATCTATAATTCTAACCACCTTGCCCTGGAAGTTACACTAGCATTTTCATTTTGCCTCATAATGATGTCCTCATTTGGACATCCTGGAAGACAAAGGAAAATTTAGGAACTCTTTAGAAGCATGGTGAGCAATCACCCATGTTTAGAATGGGAGCACCTAAGCATGCAGAAGTGACTTGGCATGCTATTCTTCAACATACTTTATGGTTTCAATAAACCAGGGTTTTTAGGTTATATAGATAATGAACGAAGAAACTTAATAATGGTTTGGCACCTGGAGCAACTCCCTAGCTGACAAGCAAACTCTAAAAACTATGAAGATATGTAACAGGTGAGGTGGTGAGGGAGAATTACGACATCTAACATCTATACAGTAGTCTCAGAGCAATAAGAGGTTTGTTCAAATGTAATGCTAACCATGTTTGATTCATATATAATGTCAGATCATGTTTTGATGCTATGTGAGGAAATTAGTTGGGGAAGCCTGTTTGAAACGTTAGAAGGCAAGACATATGCCTTTGCCCTTCAACAATAAGTGTAAGAGATGAGGGATAGAAGCTATAATAAATAGCAGATAGGAAGATGTAAGGACTCACAGTCTCAAAAACTGTTGTTCCCCTTGAGTATGAATTTCCTTCCTTCCCTTCCAAATTCCATATTATAGTTTGCTAATTTTTCCTGAATGACCCAAACCATATTTTTACTTAGTTATTTATTTGTTTATTTTTGTTTTTATTGCAGGATAGGTTTCAAATCCTGGTTTGCAGGGCAAGTGCAGATCATACTTGACAAAAGTGCAGCATGTCAAGAGAGAACAGGAGTAAAAGAAGTGTGTCAAGCTTTTCTCATATTATCAAACCTTGGTCAGGCATTACCTGTAAATAGACCAGGGATTTTGGAAACTTATTAATAACCCAATGCTACAAAATAAACATACCAACAAGATGCACTGTACAAGTATAGAATCCTTTAATATCAAATTTGTATCACTTGGCACACTCCTGACAAATATCACCTCCCTACTATTAGACTGGGCAAATCAAGACATCTGATGTCATCATAGATATAAATAAGAATCAGACAGTAGATAAATAAATATTTAATGAAGCCTTTCTGGCTTCCCTAAAATACTTCACAGGATTGAAGAGTGAAATTTCAGCCACTGCTATTAAAATAGTTCAACTTTTATAACACATGGGAATAGCCAAGCTCTAATGTTTATTTTAGCATTTCAGTTTTATCTGTAAGAAAAACAGCATGTTCAGGCCACCACGAAATTTAGAACAGAGACTTCCCTAACAGTCTCTCTGTTTTCAAATCTCGAACAGACACTGCTACACACACACCCAATAAAGGGCGAAAGAGGGTGAATGAGTTGAGAAGATAAGTCTTCAATGTTCATGTAGCAGACATGCAAATACCTGTTCTACGTTATTTTTACCTTTTTATACTATTTAATTTTTTGCCCAAAACACTGTCCAATCTTGTAATTTCCAAAACATGCAATACTTTGAAGCTCAGAGCGCCCACCTATTACTTCTCTGCATGACTCACTGCTTCTATTCAGAATGAGTAATTCTGCTACATTTCTCCATCAGCCATCCCTGGATCAATCACTACCAATGCAAAGAGTCACATCAGAATTACCTGCAATTAGGATCCAAACACATACCATTTCAGGAATGCAGTTGCCACTGGCAACCATGAAATGTCTGCTGATAAACATCTACCGAATCCCTGCATGACACAAGGCATCCCTTCCCCAGCATACTGTGTGCATTGCAGAAACTGTGTGGGTGGGTGAGTGCAGAGGATAATCGCTTACTTTTTATCAGGCAAGAAAGGCA